CGGCTCCCCCCCCCCCCAACACTTCAGGCTTGGCTTAGCAAGCTCCCCCTTCTCCTCCCTCCAGGCCCGTAGCTAACGTGGAGCCCACGGGACCCAGCCGCCCCCCTCCTCGCCGTTTTTGTGGGACCCTCCCCCGATCCTCAGCTCCCCCTCCCTCCCTCCGTGGCCCCCTCACCCCCTGATCGATCAGAGCCGGCGTCTCCCCGTTTGAGCTCATCTGCAACGAGCTGAGTCTCTTTAGGACCCAGCAGCAACCGGTGGTTGACGGAGTCACACACACACCCATTGGTCAGATTGGTTCGCTCCTCCTGTTGGATTTTCTCCTCCAGGCTCCTCGGCTCAGAGAAGGAGTGAGGAAGGAGTGCTGCCAACGGCAGCTTTCCTAGACCTTTTGGTGTCTATTAACATTGGGATTCCGGCTGGCCTCAGAGAAAGGCTCTAGTGGGGGCTGTGTGAGGTGCACGCCAGGCAGACCCACCTTGCCCTGGAGCCATTGATGTAATTAGCTGGTGGCCCCCCCCCCAAGGCCCCCTTTCCCAAAAATCCCTAGCTACGGGGCTTCCTCCCTCTAAGACAACACAGAGACCATCTTTCCTGCTCCTCTCCTTCCTGTCCACGTTCCCCACCCACTTCAGTTTGGTGTCATGGTGAAGTGTGCGGACTCTAATCTGGGAGAACCGGGACTGATTCCCCACTCCTCCACTTGCACCTGGCTGGATGACCTTGGGCAAGCCGTAGTTCTGATAGGAGCTGTTCTTGAAAAAAGAGCAGTTTCTGCCAGAGCTCTCTCAGCCCCGCCTACCTCACAGGGTGTCTGTTGTGGGGAGGGGCAGGGAAAGGAGTTTGTCAGCCGCTCTGAGACTCCTTTGGGTAGTGAAGGGCGGGGTATAAATCCACTCTCTTCTTCTCTTCTTCTTCTTCTTCTTCTTCTGCCACCCCTCAGTCACAGGGAGATGTCTCCCCCCCCCCGGGACATGGCAGCATGAGACCCCCCACACACACCATATCTGGCCCTTCTGCCCGCAGGTGGGACTCACCTGGGCCTCCGGCGGGAGTTGGCCTCACTGTTCTGCCGGTTCTTGATGAGGATGACGGTGCCCACGATGATGCCCACAATGCCCACGGCCAGGCCGAGGCCGCACACCACGTTTGCCACCGTCTCTGGGAGGGACTCAACCATGTCAAGGTCTGAGGGAGGAAGGCAGGTTAGCGGAAGCAGAGTCTTGATCCAGCGCTTCCCCCTGTGATTTCTGTCCCCTGGATTCCGCGCCCTCCGGAGGCATCAGTGAACACTGCGTGTCCCCTGACCCCGACCCAAGAACCCTTCGTGGAGACCACCCAGAGCTGTGACCCCATCACCCACACCGACAGGACTGCCCCTTTGAGAAATGCTGGCTTCACCAGCCTCAAGAAACACACTCGGGGGAGGAGTCTCTGGGGCTAGCCCCCTTTTGCCTGAAATCTGCCCCACAAAGGATCCCAGGCTGGACTCTTCTGCGGACTGAATGATGTATGAATTGCCTCCCCTGGAGAGTCCTACACTGGAGGGCTGGTCCCTTAAGAGGATGGTCCTTGTCTGCGGCACCTGATCCCTGTTTCAGACACCGGGGTCACCGAGAGAGGGTGCTGTGGTCTACTACTAAGGACCCCCCCAGGTGTGCACTGGCCCTGATTCCCACCCCCAGCCCCAATCCTTACTCCACTCCTTGGTGAGGGGCTGGGCCAGGCCCCAGTGCTCCACCCGGCAGTAGTAGACGTCCTCGGCGTTGGGGACGAAAGTCAGGTAGGAGAACTTGCGGAAGGAGTGGTCCGTGTTGGGGTAGAAGTCGGTCTCCTCCGTGTCCTTCACCTCCTGCCCGTTCTTCACCCAGGTCAGATTGATCACGGGGGGCAAGAAGGCGTCAGCCAGGCAGATGAGCACGTTGGGCTCCCCCAGCTCCGCCGGCTTCTCCGGGTACAGCGTCACCTTCGGGGGGACTACAAGGGAGGGGAGGGAGACACACAGGAGAGGTTCTGGTGCAGGTCTGGGTCCCAGACCAAGGTCTCCCTTCCCAGTTCCCCAAAGGTCCCAGAATGAACTCTTCACTCCCTAAAGGGGGAAGACGCCCTACTCCTAAAGGGGGAAGATGCATTCCATATCAGGGTGCAAAGAGGTGCCTGCCTGGCACAAGCTCAGCTCTGGAGACCCACCAGCCCGACACCAAGAGGGGCAACAGGCAGCCTCCTCTGGAGAGGATCTCTCAGGAGGATGAGGAGGGGGAAGGGGACTGGGGTGAGGGGTTCCTGGTATTGTGGTCCTTTGGGACAGTGGGGGGGGGAATGATGTGGGGACACCATCATTGGACAGCAGGCAGAGGGGAGAATTTTTCCCTGTGTGAGCCCTAAGTTGACCCTGACTGTTGAAAGCCGGTGTGGCGTGGTGGTGAAAGTGTCAGACTGCGATCTGGGAGACCCAGGTTCGAATCCCCACTCTGCCAGGGAAGTGATTTGCGATTTGGTGAGTGAGTGATTTGGAATGAGTCACTCGCAGGGTGAATCTACCTCGCAGGGTTGTTGTGAGGAGACGGCAGAGGGAGCCACTTTGGACTGCCCTGGGGGTGAAAGGTGGGTAGACATGGGTTAAACAAATAAACTCTTTGGACCCTCTGGATGTGTCACAGGAGAGTGTCCCGCTTGAGGCAGGCAGTACTTAGAAGCAGCTCTCCGGTCTGGGGGAGTGCATCAAAAACCAGGCCGAAACCAGGATTTGGGGAGGGGGTTCCCGACACTGGGGAACAAGGGGCCCTTTCTCTGCCTGAGGCCAGGGAGGGCAGAGGGGCAGGTGCCAGGCCAAGGGTAGGAGCGGGAGGGGACGTCTGAGGCTCCCGCCCCAGTGGGACCGAGGGGTTCGGCGGTACCGTTCTCGACGGGGGTGTTGTTGGAGCGGCGCATGAGAATGTCGAGGTTGGAGCGGAGGATGGCGATGTTGCTCAGGGCGTTCACGGCCGGGAAGGTGGTGAAATCCCGGAACTGGGGCAGCCGCCAGACGATGTCCTTGCGCTCCAGGTCCACGTGGAAGACCTCCTCGCGGTCGATATCGTAGGTATACTCGCCGGGCTCCTTCTCTGAGGTCAGGCTCCGCTGCACGAAGGCCGCCTGCAACAGCACGTCCTCCGCTATCCCCCACCCCAGAGAAGGAGGATGAAAGTGAGGCCATGGGGGGGGGGCAGGCCCATAGCCAGGACTGTTTTAAATTCGGGGGGCCTTTAAATAAGTCAGGGGGCACCCCCACAAACACACACACACTCCTGCACACACCACCAATGGAGCGCCTGGGCTGGATGGGAAGTCGTGGGGGGCTTGACCATAAGTCAGGGGGCTTAGCCCCGAGATGCCCCACTGTAGCTATGATCCTGGGGGGCCCTGCTGCTGGGCTCCCCTCCTATTCACACATGCAGGATTTGGGAGTATGGGGGTTCCGGGCCAGGCCTCTCTCAACAGCAGGAGTGACAGCCCCCTCCGAATGCTCCCGAGTGAAGTTTGGAGGCGACACATCCCTCCCCCATCCTCAGGCCTGCCAGACCCAAAGCCTGGCCCTGTGGGGAATGGGAGAAAAAAGCCTCCCCCCTCGCAGCAGGGCTGCCGTCCTGTAGGTGGAGGCCGCCCTCCTCCCCCGGGCTGCAGGGGGGGGCACAATATTCCCAAGGCCCAAAGTCACCTGGAAGGCCCTGAGCTGAGGCCCACACAGTAGAGTTGAGTTTTCCTGGAATGCCTTCTCTGTATCTCTGTGTCTCTGTCTCTCTCTCTGTGTCTCTCTCTCTGTCTCTCTCTGTCTCTGTGTCTCTGTCTCTCCCTCTCTCTCTCTCTCTGTGTCTCTCTGTGTCTCTGTCTCTCTCTCTGTCTCTGTCTCTCTCTGTGCGTGTCTCTCTCTGTCTCTCTGTCTCTGTGTCTCTGTTTCTCCCTCTCTCTCTCTCTCTCTGTCTCTCTGTCAGAGCTCTCTCAGCCCCGCCTACCTCACAGGGTGTCTGTTGTGGGGAGGGGAAGGAAAAGGAGACTGTAAGCCGCTCTGAGACATCTTTGGGTAGTGAAGGGCGGGGCATAAATCCAATCTCTTATCTTCTTCTTCTTGTCTCTCTCTCTCTGAGGCACACACTGGTGGGTGCTCCTTCTGCTTACAGACCCGGCTTTCATCCCTGGCCAGTCCCTCACTGCCCTCCTCTTCCTCAAGCCTCCGTTGGTGTTGGGTATTACAAGTTGGAAACCCTCAGTATATCTGGGGTTAAATGCTTGTTTATGTTACTCACAGGAAGTCACATGTTTCTCATGTAACCAATGCTCTTTAGCTGTAGAATGCCTGGGAATTTTCTCCCTGATCTAGGAATTTGATTGGGACTAAAGTGTCAAGGTGTATTACCATTTTATGGCTTCTCTTCCCGTCTTTGTTTGCTGTTCTGAAGAAGAAGAAGAGTGGCCATATTCTCTCTTCTAGTTTTGTCTTTGTCGAGTAAGGATGTAGCCAATTATGCTCTGTTGTTATTTTCATCCCAGTTACCCTTCCCATGCTAGAATTTAGTAAAAACTTTATATTTTGATCCAGGGGTCATTTCGTAGAAACAGAGCTAGGGGGACTCATTAGCATATGCCACACCCCCTGACATCACCGGAAGTGTGTCATAAGGCCACACCCCCTGACATCACCGGAAGTGTGTCATAAGGCCACACACCCCGCCCCCAACGGTCCCGGCCGCGACCGCCGGCCTTGCAGCTCCACTGCCGAGCCCCATGAGGGGCCCGGCGGTGGACCTGCAAGGCCGGTGGGAGTGCAAGGAAGCCCCGCAAAGGCCCTCCCTGGCCCCAGGCAGGCAGGGGTGGGGAGAGGCAGGGAGGAAGCAACTTACCCTCCCTCTTCTCCTGCCTCCCCCTGGCTGAATGAGGGCCGGAAGCGGGGCGGCCGGAAGCGGGGGGCGGGGCTTTGTCATGTGCCCCACCCCCCATACCTCACCCGGGGGAACTGCGATCCCCCACGATCCCCCCCAAAATGACCTCTGTTTTGATCACACATGGACTCTGAGTCTGAATTATTTTATTCTGGCACTGCTGGACCATCTTATCTCTGCTAAATACCAATTTTTTCAATATCTCACTATCATCCAACAGTTGGCCACCCCTTCCCTGCCCCCATTTCCTCGGCTGCACAGAGAAGCTTCTCTACCCCCGGAACAGCCTTGTCAGACGCATCGTGCACTGAAGAAGCAGAGGAGCCCGTGAACCCTCACATTCTGATGCTGGACAGAGGCAAGAAAAGTTCCCAGGCCTGTTGCTCAGGTTGGGCATCAGGGCCTAGAAAACACCGATCTGCACCTAAGAAGCAAAGGGTGGTCCAGAAAAGTGTGCCGGCTGACCCAGAAAGCAGCTTAGCTTGCACCTCTGCCTGTAATGAAAGTCTGATCTCTGGAACCATCACCGAGTGGAACTTTTGACCAAATAGAACCCTTACTTCCGGCTCATTCCTGCCAGTTTGGTGTCGTGGTTAAGTGCACGGACTCTAATCTGGAAGAACCGGGTTTGATTCCCCACTCCTCCACTTGCAGCTGCTGGATGACCTTGGGCAAGCCGTAGTTCTGATAAGAGCTGCTCTTGAAAGGGAAGTTCTCAAGAGAGCTCCCTCACCCCCGCCTACCTCACAGGGTGTCTCTTGTGGGGAGGGGAAGGGAAAGGAGTTTGTGAGCCACTCTGAGACTCCGAGTGAAGGGCAGGTTATGAATCCAATCTCTTCTTCTTCTGAGGAGCTGTTAGAAGTGAAGGCCTGTAATGCTGTCTCTTGACTCAGACTACAGAGGAAGACTACAAGAGAGTTAGAGAGATAGATAGTCTAGGCACTGAACAGCCTTTCCTTCCCTCTCTCTCTCTCTAATGTTATCCCTTTTGATGTGTAGACTGATACTCTCAGGGAACAAGTTTTTCTCTTCCGGCCTCACACCTGCTCTCCACACAATGCCATCTCTCTCCATTTTGGCAACATGGATGCCGGATGTTCATCCTGCATCTACATCCATCCTAGTTAGTTAGATTAGATCCTGTCCCTGCCCTTTCCTGTTGAGAACTGGAGTTCCTTAAATAAAATAACTCTTATTAGTATGAAAAGATAAAGAGGCTCTGAGTAACTTTGTTTCTTACTCAGCACACATAGAGACTGTAGAAGCTTCGCTGAGTGGCTTTGTTGTTGTTGTTGTTCAGTCGCACGGTCGAGTCCGACTCTTCGCGACCCCATGGACAAGATCCCGCCAGGCTCTCCTGTCTTCCGCCGTCCTCCGAAGTTGGCTCAATTTCATGTTCGTTGCATCGCTGACACTGTCTAACCATCTCATCCTTTGCCGTCCCCGTCTTCTTTGACCTTCAATCTTTCCCAACATCAGGGTCTTTTCCAGGGAGTGCTCCCTTCTCATTTGGTGGCCAAAGTATTTGAGCTTCAGTTTCATTATCTGGCCTTCCAGGGAACAGTCAGGGTTGATTTCTTTGAGGATTGACTGATTTGTTCTTCTTGCAGTCCAAGGGACTCTCAAGAGTCTTCTCCAGCACCATAGTTCAAAAGAATCTATTCTTCGGCGCTCGGCCTTCCTTATAGTCCAACTCTCACAGCCATACATGACTACTGGGAATACCATTGCTTTGACCATGCGGACTTTTGTTGGCAGGGTGATGTCTCTACTTTTTATCATGCTGTTTAGGTTCGCCATCGCTTTCCTCCCAAGGAGCAGGCGTCTTTTAATTTCATGGCTGCAGTCACAGTCTGTGGTGATCTGGGATCCCAGGAACGTGAAGTCTGTCACTACTTCCACAGCTTCCCCTTCTATTTGCCAAGGAGTGATGGGGCCGGATGCCATGATCTTAGTTTTTTTGATGTTGAGCTTCAAGCCCACTTTTGCGCTCTCCTCTTTTACTCTGAGCAAGAGGCTCTTTAGATCCTCTTCACTTTCAGCCATTAGAGTGGTATCATCTGCATATCTGAGGTTGTTGATCTTTTCCCCAGCAATCTTAATTCCCACTTGTGCTTTGTGCACTCGGCCAAATTATTCCTGCCTAGCGTCCTGCCAACCTAGCAGTTTGAAAGCAAGAAATTGCAAGTAGATAAATAGGTACCACTTCACTGGGAAGGTAACAGCGTTCCGTGCGCTTTGGTGTTTAGTCATGCCGGCCACATGTCTTCAGACAGCGCTGGCTCTTCGGCTTTGAAACGGAAATGAGCACTGCAACCCCAGAGTCGGATTCGACCGGCTTTCGAGCAAGGGAACCTTTACCTTTACCTTTCAGCGTCTGGCTAGGCAGGATATAAATTGAAATAAATAAATAAATAAATAAATAAATAAATAAATAATTGATTTCTGGATATACCAAACTGGAGAATTTAAGAGGGGTCAGCAAGGGGGGGGGGAGCTGGCAACCCTCAGATCTCACAGTACAAGAACTCATGGGCACTCAATCAAATTGCTGAGCGGTTGGGTTAGAAGGGATAAAAGGAAGTCCTTCTTTATCCAAAGAGTGATTAATACTTGGAATTCACTGCCACAGGAAGTGGTGGCGGCTACAAGCATGGACGGCTTCAAAAGGGAATTAGATAAGGATATGGAGCAGAGGTCCATCAGTGGCTATTAGCCACAAGGGGGTAGATGGGGGCTCTGGGGCAAGTGATGCTCTGTCTTCTTGGTGCTTTGGGGGGGTCAACAGTGGGAGGGCTTCTAGTGTCCTGGTCCCACTGGCGGACCTCCTGATGGCACCTGGTATTTTTGGCCACTGTGTGACCCAGAGTGTTGGACTGGATGGGCCTTTGGCCTGATCCAACATTGACTTCTCTTATGTTCTTATATGGAGCAGAGGTCCATTGATGGCTGTTAGCCACAAGGTGTAGATAGGAACTCTCAGTCTGGGGCAGGTGATGCTCTGTATCCTTGGTGCTGGGGAGGGTCAACAGTGGGAGGGCTTCTAGTGTCCTGGCCCCACTGCTGGACCTCCTGATGGCCCCTGGTATTTTTGACCACTGTGTGACACAGAAGAGTGTTGGACTGGATGGGCCATTGGCCTGATCCAACACTGGCTTCTCTTAGGTTCTCTCATGTTCTTATGAGCCCTGACCTCCCCACCCCCAAATAAACCCATTCCTTCCAGCCTCCCTTCCTGCCGATTCGTTCCTTCCTCCAACTCTCCCACCCCCGACCAGGCTGCCCCATCGCCCCCACCGCACACAGGCTCCTGGGCTTACCTGTCACCAGGCGGACCCCCAGGAGGAGCAGCAGCAGTAGCCACAGGTTCCCGGCCAGGACCCCCATTCCTGCCGCCAATGGGGAGGGAGGGAGGGCCAGGCAGCAATGGGGACAGCGACGGGGCTGGCAGAGGCGCACGACTGAGCCCGGTCCTGGCCGCGGTGGGTGAGGGAGGAGACGAGCGGGGCAGAGGCAGCCAATGAGAAAAAGGCCTGGGCGCTGACCCGGCTGTTGCCAAGTGAGGAAACCCCCGAGAGCCGCCCGAGCGGCAGATAGACGGAGAGGAAGGCGAAATGGGCGAGGACTTGTGCACTAGAAGCGGGTGAAAAGCGCGATGCTCTTAAGTGTGCGTGGTCGCCGCTGGACGTCCACCTCCTCCGCCTAGACCCCAGAGAGGGTAAAGGTAAAGGTTCCAGTCGAATCCGACTCTAGGGTTGCGGTGCTCATCTCCGTTTCAAAGCGGAAGAGCCAGCACTGTCTGAAGACGTTTCCGTGGTCATGTGGCCGGCATGACTAAACACCAAGGCACACTGAACGCTGTTACCTTCCCACCAAATTTATCTACTTGCAATTTCTAGCTTTCCAATGGCTAGGTTGGCAGGAGCTGGAACTAGAGACGGGAGCTCACTCCCTCATGCGGGGGTCTTGAACTACTGACCTTCCACAGCCTGCAGTTGAAGCCACCAGGTAGCGGAGATATAAACTTGAGCCACCAGGTAGCGGAGATATAAACTTTATGAAGGACACAAACACAAAGGGGTGGGATTTTTAAAACTTAAAATAAAAACATGCTTAAAACATTAGCACTCTTGCAATATTTTGTTTATTTAGCAGTGTCTGATAATGGACACCTCTTGCTGCGAATTATTGCATCAAAATGTCTGTGCCGTTGCAATCTTGAGTATGCTCTTCAGGTGTGTATCCGTAAACTGCAAACCTACCATGACGCAGCAGCAGCAGAACTGGAAGAAGAAGCAGAAGACCGCCAGTCCCACTGCGGGCCTGATAGGAGCCGTCGGGGGCCTGATCCAACCTCCGGGCCGCATGTTTGACACCCCTCCTCTAAGCTGTGGGGTCTTGCAAGCAAACATTCTATTTTGTGAGGTGCGCCTGCTGGCATGAAAGTTGTGAGTGATTTGGTTACTGGATAAATTCGTTTGCTCTGGAGCCCTCCTTCCTGAACAAAGACAAAAATGTGTGTGCCGGAGGCTACAAAACTGTGAGCTCACTCACACCAACTCAGCTTAGAGGGAACACTGGCTGCAATGCTCCCTCTAAGCCGCGGAGTCTCGTGAGCAAAAAGTCTACTTTGTCAGCTGCTGGCCTTAAAGTTGTGAGCGGCGATTTGACTGCCTGCATAAATTGGTTTGCTCTGGAGCCCTCCTGCCTGAGCGAAGGCAAAAATGTGTGGGTCGGAGGCTAAAAAAACTGTGATCTTGCTCACACTAACTCATCTTAGAGGGAACACTGGCTGGCCAGAGGATAGACAGCCAAGGATCCAGGTTGGCCCCGAGTCCGATCCTTCCATGCACCCTGATGGGGGCTACCATCAGCTCCACGGGCCCTTCCCAGGGCCCACAGCTGCCCACCTGGGTTCGGGGTGTGAAGTACACCAACTTTGCCCGAAGGCTAGCCAGAGCCAGTTTGGTGCAGTGGTTAAGTGCTCAGACTCTAATCTGGGAGAACCGGGTTTGATTCCCCCACTCCTCCACTTGCACCTGGCTGGATGACCTTGGGCAAGCCCTAGTTCTGATAAGAGCTGTTCTTGAAAAAGAGCAGTTTCTGTCACTCTCAGCCCCACCTGCCTCACAGGGTGCCTGTTGTGGGGAGGGGAAGGGAAAGGAGTTTGTAAACCGCTCTGAGACTCCCTTGGGTAGTGAAGGGCATGGGATAAATCCAACCTCTTCTTTTTTCCCGCCTCCTCCTGCTTTTCCATCCCCCCCCCCCGCAGAGGAAGCCTGGGGGGGGGGAGAACCAGGCAGTGGCCTCCAGGGGGTACTCTTCTTTGGCCAGAGGGACCCCCGTCCCAGCCTTCCAGGCGCACCCCAGGAAATGCTCCAGTTTTCTCCTCCTCCTCCTCTCCTGGAGGGCACCAAGAGAGTCCCGGGAGTAGACGACTGCGGGGGAAGAAAAGGGGGCTACTGGGGGACCTCGGGGCTGAAAGACCAAGGGAGGGAGGGGGGAGGCCGAGATGGGGCTTTGCTTCCCCCCCCCCAAAAAAAAAGAGAGAGAAAGAGGTCCCCCAAAGCAGGCCTGAACAGCCCACACCAGCCGGACTGCCCACTTGGAGAAAGCAGATGAGATAGAGGGGGGGTGCACTTTGGGGGCAACTGGCCTGGAAAGGGGAGCTCTACCTGAAAAGGGGGCCTTCCCCCCCCCCCCCCAATTTTGTCCTCTGCCTTCTCTTTGTACCGCCGGCAAAAAACCAATCTCCCTTAAGAGGAGCCGCGGCTGATCCTTCTACCCGGAGACTGATGACGCTCCCTCAGGCGGAATTCTCATTGGTGATCCTTGCGGCCCGGCCCACTCCGCAGAACTTCAGAGGCAAAACTCTCCTTCCCCCAAGCCAGTGACTAAAGTTGCTACCGATTGCTGGACGGGGTTTTTTTGTTGGGGCAGCCATGGGGTCTAGCCTGATCCTGCCAGTGACTCTGGTACTGATGCTGGTGCTTCTCGATCTCTCTGTTGTCCGCGGAAGGGGAGGACGGACCGAGCACTCTGGTAAGCAGAGCTCCGGGGGGGGGGGGGGGGGGGGGAAGCGTGGGGGGGGCG